ACATCGGCCCTCCTTCGAGGATGTTTCTTTAGTTATTCTGTCAATTAAAAACCTATCTTGACTGCTTCTTTTTGCAGAAAATTACATGTATAATCTTTAAAAACCACCTTATTTTATGAGAACCAGGGGAGAGTTGAAAACGTCAGGATAATCCAGCCCTGACACACCATTCGTGATGTAAATCTTTCGTTAAAACGTATAGTGATCGTGTTGCGAAATGAATCGGATAAACAAACTTAACGGTTTTTTAATTAATCGGGAATGGTCGTCGTGAACAACATGTGGACGGGGCATCTCCCTTCAAAAGCGTGAACACATTCGGGCAAGACGCGGACCACAGTGTCGTTAAGTTCGAAAAAGGTTATTAAATGCGCAAAACCCGTCAATGCGAGGTGATGTCATTCGTCGTCCTAACCAAGCCATTCATGTCGCATCTGTTTGACACAAATTGTGAACACATTCGGCAGTGCCAGTGAGACGTTCACGTGTATGTGGAAGGCATGAATTTCTTGGGTACCCCCCAGGAGGCCCGTCGCGCGGCAAGAAGGCAAAGTCAGCGGACGAGTCGCGCGCGTACTATAGGGATTTCGCGTCAAGTTAAATAGAGTGTCCCACTGCACGTCCTACATCGCACACCACGCGCTGCAACTCGTCCGCCGACTCTGCCTTCTTGCCGCGCGATGGGCCTCCTGGGGGTACCCGAATTTCTTAACCATAAGAGAGCTTCCACGCAATGGAATGCCAGGACGCCCCCGCCCCCTGTCCACTACCCCCTCAGATTGACCACAGTTTTAAAACAGTCAATTTCCATCATGAAAGTAAAGAAAACGTCAGAGTATTCACGTGGAAATAACTGAGCGCCTCCCATCGCAAATATCGGACATTTATCTAAACGTGTGCATTCCTGGACAAGTCATGGCTACATACATGCCAATACCTGATTAAAGCTCAGAACGGTTTTGAACGTGTATATTCTGACCTGATGCCTAAGGCTTTGTCCCATTTTTGACAGAATGGAGATGTTTTACGCGGTTTGAAATGCATTCTCACCACAATGCCCCCGTATCTTGCGATAGCGCCTTGAAATCATCTCTGTTCTCTTTCCTTCCTTTGAAAAGCTTAGCCTTAGCACTACGCGAAACAGGCGCTCTTCTGTCTGGATTCCAAACCATTGCTTGACACGTTTAAATATATACACGTTTGAACACTTATTTATTTAATTATTTATTTAATTGTTTGTTTATTTATTTATGCATTAGTGAACGCGTTAGACCATGACATACTTAGTTGGAGCAAGGATAGCCGAGTAAGATAGTTTGGCACGATAACACGTTAGTGAAACGTGGACAGGCGTTCACAAAATGCCCCTTATATTGCGATAGCGCCATGATTGAACTATTTAATGAGCCTCAGTGACGGTGTCACCGACGTCATTCAAAATGCTGACTCACATGGCACGACGCTTCTGTTGCGATTGGCATGCTGAGTACCAATGGTGACATGCTTGTCCGGATTACGGTAGTCACGAATAGCATCCCACTGTGCTTCGATTTTCGATGGATCAGCCAGGCACTCCTGGAGGAAATTCTGCAATAGACCGTAAGTTGTTTCAAGGGCTGTGATCGGCCGTAGGAAATGATCTATTGAAGAAAGCTTACCAGAATCACATGACCAGTAGAGATATCAATGCTTGATTGTGCAACAGCTTCTTCACACCAGCTGGACGTCGACGAGCTCTTACTACCACGTCCTGATCCTGTGTCTTGTGTCATTCGTTGGCGGCACAGATCCTGAAACTTGCAGTATAACATAGTCTAACAAAACATGAACCTTGAAGGCCCAGGTGTACGCGATCAAATTAGCAATAAATAAATGTCAAGCTGTCATCGTTCAACTAGACTTCGGAGTGCGCCACGTATCCAACCATGGGTGGGAAAAACTCATTTCAATTATGTTCTGGACCTCTTTTGCCAACAACGTTTTTAGATGGAGAATTCCATTAACAGCCCGATTTTTCAACCTGATCGCTTTCCTGAGGCCCGATTCATCGAGGGAAAGGGACAGCACCACTCTGGGTTAGCAGCTGTGTAAAAAAAGTATAACATATGCCGTTTGATAAATTCATTTTTGGGGGCGACAGCATCTAAATTCCGTCGCTCTAGTCGAGTCGAGTTCGAGAGGGTAAAAAGAGTGTGATGTCAGTTAAACTCAACTTAGTCTTCGAGGGTCGCCCTCGCGTCACGGGCCGTTCATTAAGGTAGGCCTAGTAGCATAACTTTATCGATCGATACCGTTAGGTGGTTTACTAAGATATGGAAATAGTCTTCAGTATTGTGGAGGCGTTTGAGAGGGCAAGTCATATTTGTTCTTGACTTTTTCAGGCTCTGACGAAGGCGAAGTTGCCGAAACGTTGGCCTAATAAACTTAACTAATCTTGGACGGCTACAATTCAATTTCATCTATCCAGATTCGATTGTACATTTCAGAGTTACATTAAGAAAATGCTAATTTGGCCTATACAATAGGTACGGGGCAGCCTCACTGGTAAAATTAATTGTGTTATCCTCCTATTGGCAAGAGGTACCACTAACGGCCCCCCTCGACCCGTCAAGAGATGGTAACGATTGATATGCTAGACTATGCTGACAGACTCGATCCCCGGATCGCGTGTGTGGTAAGCAGCGCCACTTGCCACCACCCCACACCGCCCTAGCAGCTGTGTATAGCTACCAAACTGCTTTTTTAGCATTTGCATGCATCACCATTCCAATTGTCATTTTTCATGCCGATTTAGAGTCGCCATCTTGTAATTTTCCATTTCCTCCGTGGTTGTATTTTTATGTGACAATATTGCCACATTACCTATGTATCATGGCTCAAATCAGTTCGATTTCATACACAAGGAAAGCAAGGAAGCGAGATGCATCCGGAACTATCGAAACTCAAGAATTAATCACATCCGAATAGATGAACGGCAGCCTGAATACAATCCTGAAAGGAGACGAATTCACGATGAAAAAGCAACCATTTCAAATTGAACCTAGAGATGGTGAGTGGTACACGAAGGAAGGAAGAACCATGAGAAACGGCCCAGAACCCAAGAAATGGTACCCCTTCCTTGCCCGTTGATTCGAGCATTGATGCGACTCTCTGTTCACCTTACACTACGCTCTCTCTAACAATCGCCACGTATTGAACTAGCGGTTCAGATGATCGGTGGGCGGAGATCGCCGGACCCGCCAGCTTTGAGGCATGATAGGTCGCCGAGGTCAAATTTTTCCATGCGAATTGCGCGTCAGTTCGCACCCTCAGGAGGTCCGTGGGTCCCTCAACTAGGTCAGTTTCCCTTTCTTCGACCTTCATTCTAATCGTGAAATTCCTCCTTTAATCGACTTCTACTGGTACAGTTGGCTCAAAAAGTTCGTGTCATTTTGAGCGGTTAACTTCAGAGCATCATAACTCTATTGAAAGCAGCCTGGTTCGGAAAGAAAAACCATTATATTCACTCCTCCATTATTACATTACTGGGGCGGTAGTTCATTTCGATGAAAATTAAAATTATTCCTAATCTAAAAACGACTGGAAGGCGATTAGACATCCTACTGATCCCAAAATGATTTCTTTCACAAGAATGGCTTCGAAGATCGAAAAAGTGATAGACCGTCAGAGAAGGACCTGAGCAAGATGAAGGAGAACGAAAGAAACTCAAACCCGTTCTCAAATATTTTTCAGAGGGGATTTTTGCAATCTCATGAGGCACCATAGTTCCAAGGGAACGAGCTCCGCGGTTTTTCGTGCAATACGCTTTTGATTTTTATATGCGAAAACGAGAGCAATTGTTCCTCCAAAAAATGAATACCAAAATGGACAAATAATTGGGAATGCGAAAGAAGGCAGGAAACCTCTCGAGGCGTAACGGCAGGAACTTTTTTACCTGCATACAAATTAGCCTGCCCCAGAGACGATTGCCGTAGGCGGGATCGACCTTGCAAACGTGCAACTGCAAGTGGCCGCTGCGCTACATCCAGCTGAATCAATAGTCCAATTTAATGAACCACTACTGCTTGGAAATTAGTAGCAGTACCGGGATTCGCATCAACAACAACCCAGGAAAAGATTGCGAATGGCTGCTGTGGAAAGAATACGAAGTCCTTCTTATACTTTACGATGCTTTAGTGCTACCTGTTGAAAAAAGGATTTATGAAGTCTTTTGTATTCCTATAGAGTTTTTGCTATGGTTGAACGAAATTGTGTTTACAGTAATCCTCTAGCACAAATCAACTTATCGATTTATCCTATCCCTAAACCGACAGAAAATTGTAAGTTCAGGAAAATAGGCGAGGTACCGTACCCTTCGACGTAGGGGCGTTGGCACTGGGGCGCGCAATGTCACGTGTCATCGATTTTCCATGCGTGCTCGCCTCCCAGTTCTCGTTTTCTCTGCGTTCTCTCAACGAGGAGAAAATGCGTCGAGCAAACTCGCCAACTATACCGAGCGCCGTTAATGTAGGAGGTGGAGGATGGCACGCATGTCGGATTGGCCTCACGTAGGATGGAGCGACTTGTGGAGATGAGCGGAACAGAACGGAAGCGGAATGGAACGAGTGCGCAGCGTTCGAACGCTTTTCCAATCCGGGTTGCTACCGTGGAGAGCCCGGGTAGCGTCGTCGATTACTTTCGCTAGCACCTTAGCACTACTGTTGCGCGCTGGAGGCTTGCAACTGCGCTCCGGCGCCAACGCGAGTTACGGTATTCCATCCTGTTTTCCTGAACTTACAATATTGTTAAACCGACCAACCTGATAAGCCAAACTGCTCTTCCCTTCAACATCTTCACCACGTGTGATGTTGGTGGCGTAAAAACGTCGATGCTTCACCAGATGCACCTAAATTCCAGGAATTTTCTCACGACCGGGCGGAAATGACCAACAGTGTACTCACTGCAAGGACCGAGACGAGCGCTGTGATGGTGAATGCACAGATAAAGAAGCACAGGCATGAACATCCAGTCGCGATCCGATGACTCAACAGGCACGGAGTCCTGAGTGGAATTTTTGAGTTACGGTATGGTGAAAGATAACAGAAGTTGTTACAGCTCACCTCTCCTATTCCGATGCCAGTTTCGTCCACTTTACCGTATTCGTATTTCTAGGGTACCCACAGAAGGCCCGTCACGTGGCGAGAACGCAGAGAACAAACGGATTGGCGGATGAGTCGTCGCGCGTATTGTGCGACGTGGGACGTATTATACCACATTCTATTTGAGCTGGCGCGAATCCGTACACAGCCGCGGCGATTCATCACCTGACGCCGTTTTGCGTTCTACGCTTTCGCCGACGCAACGGGCCTCTTGTCGTGTGCCCTCAGGTACCGTCTATTTATGGACTTCAAGTGCAATCAATAAAAATCAGTAATAAATACTCACAAACGGCTTGAGCGACGCCTTCAACCGTTTCGATACGCTTGTCGTTTTTTGGTTTTGTGCTTTCAAGGCGACTGATTCGCATCGATAGCTGATTTTTGTCGAATCTGAAGACGAAGGTTTTTATTATAGAAAGTAACCTCTCACCATCAGTTGTAGGATAAAGGTTTTATCGATGATGCCTCAATCGGTTTGGAACAACTTGCACTTCATTCCTTATTAACCTAAGGGTGCTGCGCTAGAACCGTAGAGTGTTCATAGGAATGACAATTTGCCCGCGGTAAACAGTGTCGGCTTTTTACAAGCGAGAAGTGAGTTGTGTGAATTTTTTCTTTCCAGAAATGCCTAAGTTTGATATTGTTCGATAGCGAATTGCTTCGTCGGCTGAATTCAGATGCGAAAGATTTTATTTTGGTAATTTGTTTTTCGAGCAGAAATCATGTGTAAATGGTGAGAGCGTTCATGTCGTTGAGTGGGTGGTGGTGGGGGGGGGGGAAATTCAAGTAAGTGACGCACTTATAATATTGTGTGTGGTGGTGGNGGGGGGGTACATTCAAGTGAGTGTACCACTTACTTACTCATTAAAGCTCAGCCCTAATACTTGGAGCTGAGCTTTAATGAGGGACGGGATTCTGGAAGGATGTGAGCAATCACTCTACCCAGCTTTTCTCCCTTCTACTGCTTGGTCCTAGTTCGCCGTTTTCAAATGCCCTGTTTTGAATGTCCCCCCCCCCACAAGGCTATGAGCGCCATGGTGAGTAGAAAAATATCATTTCTTAATACCCTAAAGTATCATGTCCAATATAATCAGGGTCCTGATGAGAAAAAGGCTTCTAAGTTCTGGTTTCCTCTCGCCGGCCGGGCGTACCCTCGAGCACAATTTTGGGTGAGCACCGCCAATACTAAGCAGAGAATCGGTTACAGCCAACCCTACTTTTTTCAAATTTCTAAATCTCTCGGTTTGTATAGATATGTGGCTTGCTCCTTTGAAGCGGGCGTTTTCCAGAGAAAGAACTGGCTCGGAAAAATTTTGACAGTAATGCAACGAGTCGAGGAGGACTGGCCATCCTGCGTCGTGACAAAGCTCAGTGATGAGTATCTCTTCGGAAGGAAGTTTTAATGCAATCAGTGGATTACAATATCCATTTAGTATGATTTAGAATAGTGCGAAATTTGGGTGCTTTCTAGACCTTATGGTTTCATGAATTATAGGCCAATCAAAAGATATTCGAGGGTCAAAAGCTCAATTGGGTTGGCCGGGACTTTCTCCACGGTTCAAAGGCAAGGTTTGCGGTGAAAGGCAGCCCATTGGAAATCAAAACGAGATGGTTATCGAAGTACGGATGAGGAGAAAGCCAAGAAAAGCGGCCCAAAAGAGCCGAAATGGTCCTTATTTCCCTGTTGATTCCCTTACTGATGCGACTCTCACCGCTGCTGCCCACTTTTTCGGAAACACTTCCTGGTAAGCAGTTGAAGTAAAAAGGCGGAGGTTTACCTATCGGCGGCGTGCAAAGGTGCGAGCAGAGCTTGGCCTTCACCCCGGAACACTCACTGGCCCATTCCTTGAACGGCTCGCCTGCAATTCAACTAGGGAGATTTCCGCTCCTAAGCATTCGCTCTTCGACCTCCGACCTTATCGTGGAGCCCTCCTTTAATCTGATTGCGTGGGCAGCTTCGCCACTTTTCCTACCCCACATACTGATCTATTTACTTACTGAAAGTCGTCAAAGAGCAAGTTGTTAGGCGTGGCGATTTTGTTCTGCAGAAACTCGATGAGTGGATAGAGCTGTTCTTCATCCTTGATGTTCACCTGAACAATCTAGTTAGTTGTACGTTAATGTATTGTTGTTAATTATCTTTAGGCAAATCAAACGCTAATGAGGAACTGATTGAGAACGAATAAAGCGAAACATAATAAGTTTGTCCCTAGCGTAATTCAAAATAGAAAACTTCATTGAATGACTTCCTGAAAGTTCAACTCAATCGTAGGTCAATCTACTTAAACAGTCAAGCACATGATCTTTGCTGGTGCGACTCACCTTCAAGTAAACTCTGTTACCGACGACTCTCGTGATGGCCATGTTCCGTCCTTTGACAATCTTGTGCTCCACATTTTCAAGTCCTTAAACAGCAATAGATAATTTTGACAGGGGTAAAGCAGCTTGGAAGGGTCTCAAAGCGATTGTTGCTGATCAGCCGTTTAACAAATTAGCGACAGCATGACGCGCATGCGCGTCAGATTTTCACTCGAATGGACATTGTTTTGCTCGATTCACATGGAATTTTTTCATTATAGAAAGTCATCCGTGAGCATTATAAGAGAAACTGCGACACCCATATATTACTCGAAGGAGTTTGCTGTTGTCTTGAGAATTATGAAAAAATATTTTTTGTAATAATCGCACAACCGGGAATGTGTCAATGCTTCACACACTCCCCCGATGTTGAACAATAACTGTTAGTGACTTAAATCTAATATGTCTGTGGGTATCCTGTTGTTGTTTCTTATTCCCATAACGTGGTTTACGGAGCTTCAATGCTGCTAGATGTTTTCCAGTAATTCAGCACTCCGACCACTCGCAGGATCTCGCTGTGCTTACCCTCCCTTTCAAAGAACGATAACAGTGTCGGGTGCAGATCATACACCATAAGAAACGACGACATCCAAAAATCTGATTGGTAGTTCATAGTGATAGCTATTTTTTGGAAATGATAGCTGTAATTAGTGACAACTGGAGAATACAACTGCAACAGGCTAATCATTTCATTGGCAGAAAACTTTACATTTTGTGGAGGCCGTCGTCACTTGTGGTGTATGGTCTGCACCTGACGCTCTTCTCGTTTTTTTGAAAGAGAGTGTATCCACCTTCCTCTATGGATGTATGCCAAAACAGGCATCTCTGAAATATCGGCCAAGCTGTGGCTACCCCTAAAATTCGATCGCCATTTTCTTTTAACTGGAGTAAGCGAAGTGGTGTGATAATGAGCTACTTAGACTAACAAGCGCGGGTCAAATGCGATATCAAGGCTTGCTCTGTTCCACAAGCTTCCATCGTTCTGTGGAACAACAGTGAGCCGTTTGATTCGTACAGTTGTATGTATAGCCATATCCGCATCACTGGTCTAAGCGCAAACCCGAGCGGAAGTAGAAAGAATGGAAAAAAAAAAGAGCTTGCCCATGTACACTTTTAATGTTTCTGCCTTTTTCTTGAACAAATCCCAACCCAGTTCCCTAGTCAAACTCTGGGTTATAAGTACCATCTCGCACTTATCTACCTAAATTATCCTTGCTAATACTAGTTCAGCCAAGTGCTTTGAAAATTCGCATCGCTAATTGATTGAGCAATGTGCCAGGCGCGTTGTACATCCAAAAATAATCCTTTGTTTTCCCAATAGAATCTGCCCTTTTTCATGTTATTACCCTTTGATGCAGGAATTTATAGGGGGCAAAATGACATCATTTCCAAGGACTTCGGCGCTGAGCTCATTTCATAGTCAATATAGAATGAGCTAGCCTCGGAAGGGCAGTGTATTTGTTCCGAGGTATTACGCTCACAAGTGCGACCTTATCAAATTCATTGTTAAGTACAGTGCGTGACAAAGGTGAAATAATGGCAAGTACCCAGTAAAATGTATAAGTGAAAAAGGTGCCTTTTGCTCCCAATAGATCTACACCCTCCAGGGTGCCGCTACTGTGGACGAGACTGAGCTTTTTATCAGCAGTCAAAAACTGTGACCTGAGCCCAGCCAATTGCGAATATTAATGACAGTATCTTTTGGAAAAGGCAGCCCATAGGAAAACAAGGTAGAGTGGTCAGTGATGCACGAAAGAAGAAAAACCATGAAAAACGCCTAGAACCCGAAAAATGGGACCTTCCTTGCCCGTTGATTTCCGCATTGATGCGACTCTCATCGGTGCTGCCCTCTTCAACGCTAACGCTCTCTCTGCTAAACGGCTAGAGGCTCAGACAGGAGACGGTGCCGAGGGAAGGCGTACCCCGCCGATGCAAGATCGCCGGGGGCATATCCTTCTATGCGAATTGGATGGTCGGTCCGCACCTTTAAGGGGTACGCCTGTCTTTTCACTAGGTAACCCTCCCCCTCTGCGACCCTCGCCCTTATCGTGGGATCCTACTTTGAGGACCCGTCGCTCTGTTTTGCCATAGAACATGGCTGCAAGAGCCCTGTGGTAGTGGAATTTGAAATTGAATGGAATTGTGCCTCAGGGACCACGGGGATGAATGAGAACGATACCCAATAAATTGTGTGTCATGTGACCCTCGCAAATCTTTACCTAGGTCAATTCGCATTCAAGCGGTGCCAAGGGTTCAAATGTGAGCAAAATTCGCGGCGCATTCCAAAGGTATGGATCAAGACGAATGCCTTGATTTATGCTTTAGACTCTCAACCAGGGCACCTTTCCGAAGAAGTAGGAGATGGAAATCTTATGCATGGAGCATTCCATAACTTGGGGCCAAGTACGCTTTTAATCGCTACTAGATTTTGAATGGAAATACATAAAATGCATGGCTCATAGTAAAACATTTGGTCAATTTTTAGCGATGTATTTTTGCTTCACAGCGGAACAGACGTCGCCAAATCCCCAGTTTTGGACACAAACAAGCGTTTGCGATTTCTAAATAGCCACATTTCTGCTTTGATTGCCCCTGGCAAGAAGATTAGATGTGTTGAAAACAAAAGTGCGTTAGTAGCGATGTTTATAGGGAGAGACATTGCTATGTTTTTCTTTTGCATGGCTAACAGCTGTACTTTTGGGCAAGTGCTAAGCGATCCCACAGGGAACTTACTTGGGAGATCACTGTCAGGCCCTAGGGAAACCCGCATGGCATTCGCGCCGTGTGGAGTTTTATGACGGTATGACAACCCAGCGTCAAACATCCTTTTGCAGGCAGTGGGCACCTTTCTTACCTATGTAGCTAGGGTTAAATCACCCCAGTAGGATCACATCATTGAGGCTGATTG